TTCAACATGCTAGCATTGTTTAAGTGTACAGCTTATACATCCTTAAACTTTTGGTAGAAATCTTACAGCTCATACGATCTTAAAGGATGAAATCTAGATTTTGTCCTGCGTTTCGAAAGTAATGTGTACCATACTTATAATAATTTACAAGACGTCAAAGGCTAAGCATAAAGTTCTTTTATCTACTACCATAAATGTTATGTTTTGCATAAATATCCAGAGTCTAATTAATTATTACTAAATTCCTTGGCGTGGGATAGTGGCGCGCGGCTGGCAAAGCGCGGCTTCGTCCTTGCGCGTGGAATTGCACGATTCCCGCGTAAAGACACGTGACACCATTCCTAGCGTTTTTCGTAGCGCCGATTTCTGGGTTACCTATCCCCCGACAATGGTGCAACACAATGGAAGCAGAAACCTGGCGGCCGATTCGCATAGCCTACGTTTACGAATAATCTCGCGCGATCCACAGCCTAGATAGCCAAGTCACGATTCGAAAAAGCATCCGCTCCCCGATCGGCGGATAAAATTCTAACGGAGCCTAGCCGATCCGTGCAACCTTGACAGTCTCGGTAAACGTGGAAACATTGTTAAAGGTTTCCCTCGATACTTTCACTTTCCTTCCTCCTTTTTCGCGGCAAGTGCACAATCCCGTGGCAAACCAACGGACACGTGCTTTTACGCTTTGACGCTTAACGGTAAATCCTCCACCGATTTCTTCCGATCGAAATCGATTTCCAGCTCTGACCCCCTTCCTTTTTTCACCGAGACCCCTCTTCTCGTTGTTCACCGTTTGTTTCTCCAAAGTGTTGTTTCAAATTACCGGCCTCACCGTCCGATACCATGAAGGTATCAATCATTTCTCATGCAAATATATAAATACGTACTTAAGAAACACCCTTGAACACGTTTCCAATACGTTTCCAACTTCCCAATTGTCACACTTATTTCAGAGGACATGATCAATCTTACGTACGTTCATTGGGAACGAATTCCTGTCTGAAGGCGTGAACGGGTAATTATTCGTCAAAGGAAACGCGTTAAATGTCTACATCCACTTTCCCATGGAGTTTCTGTTCCGCTGTAGACGGGAGCCTCGAAATTCTAGCGTGTCCCGGTATCGTATCGTATTCATAAGGCACGTATATTAATGGACGGGCGGCACACACGCGGGTGCACGTGCAACACATAAACCAACTTCCTTGACAAGACCCAGTTTCGATGTCTCTCGCGGCACGTCGGTGCTTAATTATGCCAAAGGTGCACTTACACGGGTGCGGAGCCGACAGGAAAAAAAGTGATAGCCACTTCCCTTACTGCTTGTTTATGGTTCCCAGATTATTTATGCGATGCACTTTTTTCTTTAACCCGATCCCTCCTTTCTTGTTTGGTTTCTTTCATTTGGCCGAATAATGTTTTATGAATTGTGAAAATAATCGAACGGCCTCACCGGTAGCAATTGCTGGTAGCTCGAACCGTTTGTAAATCAAAAATAGTTACAGCGACGAAGTGTAAAATAAAAATATTATATTTACGATTGCGTGTTTCTATTTGAGATAGAATAAAAATGATGCAATTCACAAGTGCGAAGGGCAGATGAAAAGATTTGCGAATTGGCATAGGAAGCTCGCGTTAATTAACACCCGAGCTGAAAGGTGCTAAGAAGATGGCGCCTGGAGTTCCACGTGGCAGCTCAATAAAAGGCGATAAAAGCCGAAAAATCAACGCGGCGTCGGCGGCGGCGGTAATAAATCATCGGACGGGACCGTTTTCGCGCAGCCTGCAATTTAAGCTCGCTCCTCAAACTGTCCATTACGCGTTCCCGTCTCGTCGATTTCAATATGCTACGAGCGTGTGTGGGTCACTTCGCGGCTCTCTCGCCTGTTCACGACTTTTATTAACGGCCATCGAAGGACTCTGTCGAGAGCCTGTCGAGGACGAACCTGCAAGTCGTTTAATTCCTTAACACTAGATCTACCAAGAGGGGTCAAAATTACTTGTTTGGCATTTCTTACGATCATTATTCATTTTCAGTACATTTTCTTTTTAAAAAATTTGGTACGACTTTTTCTAAAATATGCAAATAACTAATTCTGTAAAACAGTTTTCTTTTTTGTCTCTTTGATGTAAATGCAGTATACCTTCATATACCGAGACGAGTCATTTTTACCCCCACAGAACGTGGATCAAAAGCGTAATTATTTTGAAAATTATTGTTATTAAATTATTATTAGTATTATCATTGTCAGTTTATTATTCACTTTTCATTCATAGAAACGTAAAAATTGCTAATTTCTTTTCTTAAATAACTTATTAATTTGAAAAACAAGACATTTTTACCCCTTCGGTGGAAGTAGGTATACCTCAATCGCCGGTAGTTCTAATGTTAAATAAACTCTATTATACAATGTAATATTAAACAAAGCATCATTCATTGAAAAGGCATTAGAAACTTCTATGTGTTTCTATTAAATGACTGTAAAATCTGTTATTAAGCATTGTCTGAGAACGTCTTAGAGAATAAATGATATTCATGCTAGTATTACCCGTTAAAGCAGAACATCCTGCGCATCATAGCCATTCGATTTCAATTCTAGTTCCATCAGGATGTTAAAGTAAAAGTTCTTAACTCATTCCACTTGTACAGATACTGTCAGTCAAAGGAGCGTTTCACGCCAAAAAGGAAGAAAGGTGAAGCGAGGCTTCGACAGGTTCAACGACGATCCATCGGACTGCACGGAAACACGATCGATCAAAGATGACCCATATACCCTAACAGGCTTCCTCGACAGCGAGAGAATTCACGTTGTTGTATGTCCGCAAAAATAGTCGAAGCTTTTTATTTTAGAAAATAAATTATATGTTTGTTAGTTTAGAAAACTCAGTCGTTATCACCTGTGAAAAATGAAATGTACTATTGGATAGCAGGTGAAGTGACAAAAGAGTGTCAAAAGGTTTAACGATGAAATTATCTTTCTGAAAGAACGGAATCAAAAATTAAGAGAAAACGTGTCCGTACAAAAGGCCTGGTTATAACAAAGCCGAAAGTGCGAATCACCTCGGGATGCCTCGGTAACGGGTGACAAGATGCATGTCTACACATGCTCGATTCGAATGAATCATCCTGAATGGACAATCACATCGAACAAAAGTATAATAGAAACTCCATCAGCTTCTTTCAGCGTTCAATTTGATTGAACACCTCGATTAACTTCCTTGACCACCTGCAGCATCAGATTCTTTCCCAACACAAGCACAAGATTACACATTTATATTGTTACGCGCTGTAAAAGATTCCCGAATTGTGCGAACATTTAAGTGCTTCGATTTTACGCTGTAAAATTATACGTAAACGGCTTTGTACAGTAATTTATATGGTTCACCGTTGATTTCAGTTATCCAAAACTGAGATGAACCGTGGAAATTCGTTAGGAACGCTGGAAGATCGATCTCGGAATACCGTTCCTTCGAGGAAGTGAGCACACACACGTTCCTCTCACGGATCTCGAGTTTTGCTCATCTTTCGCCGAGATCGAGGCCTGCGTCAAGGACTGCCGGACAGGACTTCGATGATCCCTAGTCCGTGTGCCCGTTCGCTTGTATCGGCGCGTGACGCAACCAGATTCTATCCGGAGGATCGGGTTCTGCAGATGCTACCGGCTAACGGTCGGTGCTCACGTTTTATCCGGGACCTCGACGGGTTTCGAGTGACGTCAGTCCGGGTGAATGGAAACGACGGCGACGTGGTGTGCCGTGGTGGCGGATCGACCCGCTGAACGATTGGGAACGCAACCGAATGGAGGCGCGAGTTATCGGTGAGCTTTGATTTATTGTAGCATCGATCAAGGAACGTTCGGCGAGTATTTGGGAGAACCGAGGGTGACAGACGATTAATACCTTCGTCGGATTTTTCAATGAATAATAATAAACTCCTTTTTTCACTCTCTCCTTGATGGAGCATCGACGTGGTTCGTCTGAATTGAGAAATCAGCTTTTTATTGTTCGTCGATCAACGGAGATCAAGGACGATTAATTTCGCTCCACTCGGTGTTTGTTCTTCAAGGAATGGGATGAAGTTGTGCTTACTTTCCCGTGATCACAGGAAATACATTTAAGATTGCTTATATAGTTTCTATAATACATAACTAAACCGCGAAAGCAAGTAAGCTTTCGGCTCTATCTATATCACCCGAACTGCCCACGCACTGTCACGATAACCGAGAGCGCAATTCCTATCTACTCCCTTCGCTCATTGTCAATCGGTTATCGGTAACGTATTTGACCATTTGTCTACATTTGTCCATCGTGCGTCGTATAAGTCCGGTGCGTTCTGCATATCGCTTCACGGGATATTATACAAACCCTTATACTCTCATAACATAACTGTTACAGGCCTAGACGCTTATGTACTTACTATGCATTTACTGTTTAATGTAAATGTTACAATTTCTGTTCTTACAGTATTCACTTTCGACTTTCGCTGTTAATTCCAACTGACAAATACGCGTTTACTTCATTATTTATTAAACATTTCTGGGATACATTACTTACACTTCCGCGAGCTTTCTCTTTATAGATTCTTTTGAAATTCGCTGCTTTATTCATATACATATTGATTTTATTAATAGATCTTATTTTTGTACAGTACTTTCAAATATTTGTTCATTTTGATTTTGTTACAGATTCGGAATCGAGTCGGTATAATTACGATGCCTAGCACGCAATTCAAAGTCGACCAAGCGCGCATCGAGAGTAAATGAAAAAGAAACAATGCGTTTCATTTAATTTTCCTCCCTACCATCTAGTCTATTAACTCAGCTCTTTTTCATCAAATTCTTCTCGTAACCGCGTGCAATGCGGTCGTAGAGTCACTTGCTTCATATTATGGATTACAATTTTTATATTATACCTTTTCCTATTCTGTAATTCAGTTTTGATAATAACACAAAAGTATTGCCGATGGATTGCAACGAATTGTAAAAAAAGATAAGATAAACAGTGCATACGTATACAGAACCTTTTATTTATTTTCTTATATTGAACGTACATCGATAACTTTATATAAACAATCTCATTATTCCAAACATACTTGTTTTATTTGCTAAAATGATTGAACTTTGATTGACTTTTGTCAATGATTGACTGTTTCCTTGTTTGTGACATCATGCCATACATTATGTATAACATTATAACTGCAATTAACTTTTACAGTTTCATTTAATGATGGAACAATCGCAGATTGGTGTGAACCATTGTAATTTTGTGTTCGTCGCAAGCTTGTATTACTCCTTCGTCATTGACTGAACCAGATGGACTCGCAATGTATTTAACACCACTCTGTAATCAAATCGAATTAAATAATTTCATGACGAACGAAGTATTTTATAGTTACGTACCAATCGAGCTCTATCCACGTTGTCTCTAAATGGGAAGAAAGCATCACTGCTTAAGGCTACATTATCCAGTTTTTTTATCCATTCTACCCTATCGTTTTCCAAAAGTTTCTGCGGAACCTGTTCGTACATCGCTGCCCAAGTAGCTTCATCCATATCTTTCCCAATTGATCCGTTCACATAGTTGTCAATAGCATTCGATATTTCTGCCCGTTTCGTGCTCTTCTTGAACTTCATATCGGTAACTTTAGGATGTTGTCGAAGCCACCTGTAACATTCAATAGCAAACTTGAAAAGCTGATCATCACACTGACAACAAACTGTGTATGTATCACGATTCAATAGCATAAACAAATATTCTGTAAAAGAATGTACCAATTGTCGGCTTTATCGCCAGCCAGTCTCGTGCAATGAATTCGCGATTGCTGGCCCGCACCAATTCCAATTACTTGTCCGTCCTTCGCGTAGCACACCGAATTACTTTGCGTATACTTCAAAGCAATCGTAGCTACAATCAAATCCCTTATAGCGGAATCAGGAATGCTGGTCGAATTTTTGGTCACCACGTTAGCAAATGTGCTTTTATCGATGACTGCATCGTTCCTTTTCTGCTCCAGGGTTAAACCGAATAAAACTCTGTGCTCCGTAGGAGACGGCGCATAATTCGGATCAATTTGGAGAATGCAGTACCCGCCGTTCTTCTTCTTCTTTAAAAGTTTCAACGCGCCCTCCGAATAACCAGGTGCGATAATGCCATCAGACACTTCCCTAAAATTTTGTATAAATAGATACGATTGAATATTTTTTATCTTCATGGTATGTAAGACCATTACCTGGATATAATCTTGGCAGTAACTTCGTCGCATGGATCGGACAATGCTATAAAATCCCCGAAGCTTGACATTCTATCTGCTCCCCGCGCGCGAGCGTAAGCGGTAGCAAGCGGTGTAAGCTGATTAACTAAATCATCGACTTGACATAATTTCGCTTGCACTGCGTCCAGTGGCACACCGACTGCTGCTCCAGCTGGGCTAACGTGCTTAAAAGATGTTGCAGCTGGTAGACCCAGAGCTGCTTTCAATTCCTTTACTAGTTGATAACCATTCAAAGCATCGCATAGATTGATAAATCCTGGGGAACCATTCACTACGGTTAATGGCAACTTGTCCAAAGTAGTGACAATCTGTGCCGGTTTCTGATGCGGGTTCATTCCATATCTCAGTGTCAATTGAGAGACACCAGCACTGTATTGCTTACGGAAATAATCTGAAATAGCATTGTCATATTCTGCTGTATGGGTAAATGCTTTAAGTGCTAATACTTGTCTAAAAATTAAAAAAAATAAATGAAACAAATTATATGAACGAGGAAGCGACAGAACTAATTTCTCTGATAAGAGGTATACCTCGTGTCCAAGGAAGTATCTTTATTCGCAGATGATTCCATTTCTTTCCAAACTTTCTCATAATCTTTAGGGTCACAAATAACTGTTACCCTGTTGTGATTCTTGGCCGCTGCTCTTAGCAAAGTCACTCCTCCGATATCTACGTTTTCCACTGCATCTTCGATCGTTACATCAGGTTTTGCAACGGTATTAACAAATGGATATAAATTACAGACGACCACTCGGATAAGCTCGTAATTCTGTTTAAGGAGATCTTCCTTGTCGGACTTTGTTAGTCTAGCTAGTATACCTACAGAAGAGGAAAATCTTTTGTTAAGCGAATTTAAATGTTTACGTAACATTAGAAGCATATATTAATTTCGTTACCAGCATGAACTGCAGGATGAAGAGTCTTGACTCTTCCGTTGAGCATTTCAGGTGCACCGGTGATATCAGAAACATCTTTCACTGGAAGACCAGAGTCTCTCAAGGACTTCGCCGTACCACCAGACGCAATTAAAATCAAACCTAACTCGTGTAACTTTCTGGCAAATGGCAATAAATCCGTCTTATCGGATACACTTAAAAGTGCTGCGAATGTTACAAAAAGATATAGTTATTAAAGCAACAAATAATATCTGTTAGACACGTGGCATTGAAAGTCGTAAGAAATACATCGTAATTAACATTGAAAAGACAGTTTACTCTTCGACCACGTTGTCTGTAATATTTCTTTCTCTCGATTATCATCATTTTAATAAAAATCGTAAATGTAACTCACCTAAATTTCCACCCGACATGGTTTCTTCTTAATAGTACTTTGAAAATCGAAGTAAATTACAAATTAAATGTATCAATCGGTACTGCTGTGCATAACCGGCTTCTACGATCGCCTGAGCAACAAGTGTGCGATGTGCGACCCTGAAGTAATCCCAACACTCGATATAGGTTCTGATTACTTCTCTACAGCCATACGTACGCATGTTTACGAATTAAATTAGATTTAAACGAATGGAAATATCTCGCAATTCGCGGGGGTCTTGCAGGTCAAATGTCATTTTATTGGAATTAGATAAGATAAGAATAAGTTGTGCAAACGTTTACTTGCAGAAGAAACAGAAATTGCAATAACAAGTCGCTGCATTCGTCAATAATATTTATACAGATTTTGTTTACTTAGTAATATTGAGAGACAGGATAACTTTTGTAATTGGAAAATGAAGAAAATAGGCGATTCATCTTTCACAAAATTTATTATGCACATTCCGCAAATCTTTAATGGAATAAATTAATCACCGTTAATAACAACAATGTCTATTATTTGAAATAAAATAGTTTTATCAGTTTCTCGTTTTAGGATACACATTTTTAGTTATAATCGTTTAAATGCATTAGTACAAATAAGGCAACTGAATCTAATTTTTACTGTTAAT